TTTTTTGCGTTTTTCTTCTTTTGCGTATTTCTCAACTATAAATATATGATGAAAAATCTATCAGAATATAACATTTTTATAAAGCTATTATATAAAAAAGTATTAACAAATAATTAATAATATGTCTACACTAAACTCATCAAATTTAAATCAACAAATTGATCAAGCTGCTAATAATCAGCAACGACAACAGGATCATCAACAACAAAATCAAGGAGCTGGTCAAAACAATAATAACCAGCTCAATGAACGAGATGATCAAAATCTTCTTAGCCAAAAACAACAACAACAAGCTAATCAATATGCTAATGATCACAATCAACAACAACACCAAGCTGATCAAAATAATAATAATCAACAAGCTAATCAAGGTGCTATAGGTCAACGACAACAACATGATGATCAAAATCTTCTTAGCCAAAAACAACAACAACAAGCTAACCAATATGCTAATGATCAGAATCAACAACAACAGAATTGTCAAAATAATAATAATCAACAAGGTAATCAAGGTGCTAACGCCCAGCAACAAAAACAAGAGGATCGTCAATCTGGTTGCGCTCAACAACATCAACAAGCTGATCAAGGTGGCGATGCTCAACAGCAACACCAAGCCAAATTTATACATTAAACATAAACTATTTTCTTTTTTCGTTTCATGTTGAATATTTAATGTTTATATTTTATTTTATGGGATTCTCATGTAGGTTTTGGAGATTTCAATGTAAATATTAAAATAAAATGATTATTCGAAAATTTATTTCTTTTCAAATATAAAACAAAATCTTTTCTATTGGAAAACAATGTTCGAAGAAGAAATGAATTGAAATTGATATGAAACAATAAATATTATTTATGTTTTTCTTATATGTGATAGTTGTGAGAACAACTTTGTATTTTCTCATGATTTTTGAATGATATCTTATATGTATATGTTGATCACAACAAACTCCAATGATAATTATTAAAACGATGAGTTTCTCAATGGGATTATTTTCTGAAGGAAATATCTAAAGCATATTTTTAACATTTATTTTTCATATTTTAATCTTTAATATTGCGTAAACAGATAAATAGATACTTCGTTGATCATTTATTTTTTTATATAGATCTGAAAAGAGTTTTATAGATGTCGCTCATTTTCTTATGTATAGCGAGATTTTCAATAACATTTTTATGTTCAATGAAAATAATAATAGTAGTATAACATTAATATTTGGGTTTCTTTTATAGTATGTGTAGAACAAAGAAGAAGAATTTTAAAATTTCGATTCAGTTTTAAATAGAAGAAAATCTTTAAGTAATTGTCATCTATACTGTTAAATATTAAGTTGAACAATTTAAAAGAAATTTGAAAAATTGAAATCTTCCATTTAAGATACACAAAAAATACTTTTCACGATCAATGAGATTTTATTCTTCAACAATTGACTTTTTCATAAAAACAATGTCAATATTATATTCTTTCGCGTACATGTCTATCCTCATCTATATATTATACTTTCAACATCATGAGAACATATTGTATTATACGAAGTTAAATATTGTTCAATAAATCGTAAAAAGTATTTTATTATTTATCACAACTAAACTAGAAATTATTCATCGAGTTTTATTTATTCAATAAATTCTTTCTTTTTTATAGTAAACATCTACTGTGTAACCTCGATTCTTTTTAAACATGAGAATCATCTTTCGAACAACAAGCCAAAAAATATCTCCATAGTGTCTCTTTGTAAAAAGAATCAATAAAGATTATCGAATTTATTTTTTTTGATATAAACGAAATGATGAGAAGAAAAAAAATGAAAAAATCATGTCTATTGAAAATTCAAATGAAGATTAACTTTCTCTAAAATAATCACTATTTGGAAAATAATCATCAGATAATCGAATTTGACTTGAACGTCCATTGGGATATAAATAATTAACTAAATCATTTTTTCTCCCTAAATATTCCAACATATATGCTGCTGCTTGACTCATTTTAAAATAACCAAATTTATCAATATTCTTTATTGTATCACAATCTAAATGATAACATGGATCAACTTTAGCACCTGCTAAACCACCACGACCTTCACCTAATTTTGATTCATAACGATCACGTTGTTCAACACTTTTTGTTTCATCAGCACCTGAAAAAAGACCACCAGCAACAATACCAGTTGCTAAAAAAGGTCCATAATCACTTCGACCACTAAAATCTGTATAATCATAAGGAAGATTTTGTAAATTAAACCAATCACGAAATACTTCAGATATTCTAATACTTCCATTTAATGCTTGTGAAGGTGTACCTGGTTTTGCTGAACTACCATTATAAATTCCAAAAAAATAATTTGGTGAACCAAGCATATCATAATTTAGATTAATTAAATAATTTGAAAGTTTATTTTCAGATGGTGCTGATGAATTTTGAGCTTGTTGAACATGATGAATTGCTCCAACTAATCCAATTTCTTCTGCTGCCCACCAACAAAATCGAATACGATATCGATATCTTGTATAATTCGTTGTGCCATATAATCGAGCCAAATTTATTGCTAAAACAAGATTTGTTGATGATCCACTTCCTAAACACAATTTTATTCAAAACATTTACTATTTTATAAAACAATGAATAGAAGTCTTATCATCGAATAGATAAACTATATACTTCTCAATGAAACTAAAACTGTAGTCTTACCATTATCATTAATACCAGGTCCAGCTGGTACACTATCACTATGTCCACCTACAAGAATTGTTTCATTAATATTTCCACCAAATAAATCAGCACAAATATTATCAACACTAAATGTTCCATAATTTTCTCTTTGAATTTCAATTGTTACACGAACTGAATTATTATTCTTATTAATTGCATCTACTAATGTTCGTCCTGCAGCATAAGAAAGTGAAAGTGCTGGTAATTGATTTGATTGACGAAGACGAAAAGATGCTGGTGCTAAACTTGTTGTTGTTAAACCATGATTATAAAATAATATAACTGACACATTTTTCTTTGTTGCAATTTCTCCTTTCTCTGCATTTGTACATATTCCACCTGCTAAAATTAAAATAGCTTCACCTTCAACATTATTATAATCACTTTCATCACATCCATTATTATTAACAACGACAACATTAAAACTTGTTAAATTAATAGCAGCTGTATAATTAACATAAGTAAAATCTGATCTTGATAGAATACTTGAATAAGTGAAA